CGATTTCCACTGATTGAGCTGTAGATGTCGACTCCGTCTTGCAGGTTGTCTCCATACGTGAACAAGACCATAATATAACGTGCTGCATCTTCTCCAAACATCTTCTGAAGAATTTTAATCGTTTCTTCTTCTTCGCTTGTGAATCTGGTCGACTGGATCACAACCAGGAACACGTGAGGACCAGGAGCAGCAAAGGTGATGCATCTAACAATCTGTGTAACCACCTGATCTACAGACAGGGTGGTGTCAAATAGACCTGGAGTATCAACCACAGTCAGTGTATGACCATCCACCTGGGCTGTTTCTTGCTGACACTCCAATGTTACAGAAGAAAAAGAAGAAAAAGACTGAAAAGCTTCTCTTCCTAAGATGGTGTTTCCCGCTGCACTCTTCCCTACTCCAGCTTTCCCAAGCAGCACCATCCTCAGGTGGAGGTCCTTTGCATCTGTTGAAGAAGATAAATAAATAAGGTTAGTTGGCCTTCCTGAGGCAGCTCACCACAATCGGACAGTGTGGACTTTGTGTGTAGACGTGATTCAGCCTCAACCTTGGCAGATTAGTGTCTCTGTGGCGGTTTCTGGTGCATCGTTATGCATGATTCTGAATATTAAGTATGTTTTAATTGTTAAACACAGAATAGTCATGATTTATATGTGATTTTGCTGATAGTCACTGATCAGAATATTATCGGGTGTAAGTTTAACCAATATAAAAAATAAGAAAATATCCATCGGCCATCTTTTTGTGCTCGTCTCAGGCCGGGTCACGGGACCAGCAGCATTAGCAGAGAAGCCTAGACCTTCCTCACCCCAGCCACCTCCTGCAGCTTGTCCACGGGGACACCAAGGCATTCCCAGGCCAGCCGAGGTCCCCCCCAGGACCTCTTCCCTGTGGGACATGCCCTATACACCTGTCCCAGAAGGCATCCTAGTCAGATGTCCAACATACCTCAACTGGCTTGTATTCCTGTTCTTGTTCTTTCGGTCACTACCCAAAACTCAAGTCAAGTCAAGTCAAGTCAACTTTATTTGTCAATTCTGCCACATGTACAGGACATACAGAGAATAGAAATTTCTTTACTCTCAAACCCTAGATGAAATAGCAAATGAACATTTAAATATAAGAGAGTGATTAAAAAATGCAAATAAAATAATTAAAAAGTAAAAATTTAAATAAATACAATACAAATGAACAAGAAAGCTATACAATATACAATATACAATATTCAGGTAAGGGTAAATGACATTGAGTGTAAACCAGGCAGAGTAGTGCAAATAGGCAAATAGTGCAAATGGAGATTTAGTAGTGTACAGTAAGAGATAGTGTAACAACAAAGTCTTATGAGGTAATGGCAGTCCAATGCTCCACAAAGTGACTGGTAACTGGTGCAGGCCAGTGAGTGTGTGTGTGTGTGTGTGTGTGTGTGTGTGTGTGTGTGTGTGTGTGTGTGTGTGTGTGTGTGTGACAGAGTTCAGTGAGACCATGGAGGAGAGAGGGGAGAGGGGGCAGAATCGGGAGGGAGTTAAGCTTCCTGACAGCCTGATGGATGAAGCTGTCCTTCAGTCTGCTGGTCCTGGCCTGGAGACTCCGCAGTCTCCTCCCCGACGGCAGCAGCTTGAAGAAGCTTTGCATTGGGTGCGTGGGATCAGCCGCTATGCAAAGGGCTTTTTTAGTGAGACGGGTGCTGTAAATGTCCTGGAGGGAGGGGAGAGAGACACCAATGATCCTCTCTGCAGCCCTCACTATGCGTTGGAGGGTTCTATGACAGGACGCATTGCAGACCATAGGTGATGGTAGGGACCCAGATCCACCGGTAAATCAAGAACTTTGCTTTTGTGCTCAAGACCCAGAGATTCTTAAACTCCTCTACTTGGAGTGAGGCATCCCTGACCCGGAGTGGGCACTCTGTGGGCTCCCGGCTGAGGACCATGGCCTCGGATTTGGAGGTGCTGATTCTCATTCTCACTGATTCCCACTTGGCTGCAAACTGTTCCAGTGTGATCTGGAGGACATCACCTGATGAAGCCAACAGAACCACATTATGTGCGAAAAGCACAGATGAGGTTCTGAGACCACCCAAGTGGAGGCCTTCTGCCACTTGGCTACTCTTCGAAATTCTGTCCATAAAAATTCTGAAGAGAACTGGTGACGAAGAGCAGCCCTGGCAGAGTCCAACAACCACCAGTAACAAATCCGACTTTTTGCCAGCTGTGCGGACCAAGCTCTTGCAATGGTTGTATAAGGATCAAGTGGCTCAGTGAGCCAGACAGCCCATATTCCTGAAGCACCTCCCACAGAGCACTCTGAGGGATACAGCTGAATGCCTTCTCCAAGTCCACAAAAACATGTAGACTGGTAGGACAAACAAACCTGAGGTTTGACTAACAGACGGACTCTCCTTTACAGCACCAGGCACAGACTTTCCTGGGGAAGTTGAGGAGTGTGATCCCCCTATAGTTTACCCCTTCTTAAAGATGGGAACCACCCCCCTACAACATCCAGAGGGTTCAGGAACTGAGGGCAAACCTCATCCACCCAGGGGCCCTACCACCAAGGACTCATTTAACTGCTTCAGTGACCTTACCCCACCAATGATTGGTGAGCCGTTCCCCTTGTCCCCAGATTCTGCTTCCTCTATTGGACATACCAGTGGGATTAAGGCGGTCCTCGAAGTATTCCTTTCACCACAAGGCAATTTCCTCAGTCAAAGTCAACAGCAACCTGCACTACATGGTGCCATGTGCACTTATGGACGCCCTTGCGTTCGAACATGGTCCTTGTAATGGACAAACTGTGGTTTGCACAGAAGTCCAGTAACAGAGCACCGCTGGGGTTCTGGATCCAGGCCTCACTGTCGTTGCCCACATGAGTGTTGAAGGCTCCTAGTAGGACACCTGGGGACAGTCTCCCATAAAGAGAACATAAGCAGAAAATGACTACAAACCATAATAAATCTCTTTGATGTTTGAATGCATTCAGATTTGTGAAATAAAAGCTTCCCTCAAAAGTAAAAACTAACAAGCCTGTTTTGAAAATGTAAAAGGAGTAAAAGACAATATATGACAGATATCTGAAGATTCAACAGAAAATAAAAAAGAAAATTTATTTTATGTCCAAAACAAATGTGTCACCCTGTTCGTTGGTGTGATAGGAAGGATTACATCTTTGATTGATTTTTGCTTCAGGGATCTACATTTGGCACAGTTACACAGAAAAACCTCATTTGTTTTGTAAATGACAGTAAATGAGATTTCAGCCCATTTTCTGATTGGTGCCGTATTAATAAGCTGATTTAAGCCGTTTAAATGTCCAGTCACCACATCTACATTTTCTGCATACTGATTAGTTTGCTCTTTTCTTCCACGTTGTGCAGTTTTCAGTCTTTTTTCCCTATGTACATTACAGATGCGGAGTAAAAATCCAAATCTTAAATCTTACCATCATGGTAGAATGACAGTACAGTTTCACTTTTAGGGTTTTACATATCAGGAGATAATTTCATGTTTAGGCTGTCCCACTTTAGTTCTAGTTAGTTTTGCCTCAGTGTCCATCTGCCTTTTGTTTTTTTACCAGCCTCTGATAAACGGCTCGCTGTTCGTTAAGTCATAGCTTTGCCTCCTTTTGGGTCCGCACCTGTAACTCCACACAGTCTGCAGCATCTGTCTCTGACAGCAGTTATGGATCAGTGTGACGTCATCAGTGTGTCTGATGTCTGCAGAGTAGTTTTAGTTCACTCTCCTGCCCAGAGATGCTTCAGCTCATTGAGGTTTGCAGCATTCATTCATGCAAAGCGCTCTAAGCTCTGCAGCAGCTCGGTTTGTTTTACAGCTGTTCTGTTGGAGATTTGCTGCTGTGCTTGGATCTTTGTCCTGTTGATGACACAGTTTGGTCCAAGCTTTAGCTGTAGGACAGACATCCACTCAAAGCCCAAATCATCGTCCTTCCACTGCGGTGCCCACAGTTCGTATGAGGTGTTTGGTTTCCTCCAAACGTGCTGCTGCTCATGATGGAGGAAACCCAAAATCCATGTTGGTCTTGCAACCTTTCCAAACCAGCCGCACTTCTTCAGTCTTTTTGTAATTGTGCTGTCGTGCAGCTCTTGGGTGTTCCTGTAAGCTTTGAACACGCTGACCTCTGGTTGAGTTTGCTGGATGTCCACGTTCAACATTGGAGTCACACTGGGTTAAATATGTACACTTGGGTTTTGAGGGGTATTTATTATTTTCTTCTTTTTTTGGGTTGTATGGAAGCCCCAAACGCAATTTCATTGTTCTTGACAATGACAATAAATAAATAAATACTAAATACTAAACATCAGAAAAATGCCATTGCCATTCCATTCCAACCATTCCATTGTTGTACCAACAAGGAAGAGAACGCTAACCACAAACTGGCTGAGCAGGTTTACTGTATGCGCATCAAAATAAATCTCCTAAATCAGTCTGTCACCGCTGCAGACACCAACCACGGTCTTTTATGGTTTGGTTCCTGCAAGCCATGTAAAATAAATCTGTTTCCAGCACTGCATGGAGCACATGTTTCAGGATTTTGAGCTTCAAACAAATGTTTCACAATAAAAACAACAGCAGGACAAGAGACATAGACACAGGACACAGAAATAACCAATCACAGTTCAGTTTAGCACGTAGGTCTTTTTAAACTTTTTATCATTTGCTATATAACGTTTGTCTAATCAGTAAATCAGGATAAAAGTTGTAAATGTACTTACGAGCTAGTGTGTCGGCCATGTTTGTTAAAAAGCTTTGCACTGCTGCTCTGTGCTGTACCGACGGGATTGGTCCTTCCTTTAATACAACTGTATCTAATGCAACAACAACACTTAGTTAAAGATGCTGCAGGGCAGGTTCCAAAGAGAAACCCGCTGTCATTGGCCAGCCACACAGTGATGTCACAGTATAAACAACCTGAAGTCCCAGAATGACGCTGAGCCTGAAATTTCTCTTTTAGAGGAAATCTTACCCTGGTTTAGTATCAGACAGACAGCAGGTCACGCCACGGGAAATCCATCAGCCCCACCTGACCCCTCAACATCACAGATTCTGGCCATATAACCTAAGGTATGTTTCATGGAGCCATGCAAAATTCATGTTCATGCAGGAAGGTATCTTCTCTGTTTTATTCCAGGAAGAGGAGCAGATAGAAGGCAAGGTTAGACATGAACAGAGAGAGGAGAAGATCCGGCAGGACTGCCACGTCGCTTCCAGAAGAATATAATAATAGTAGTCATAATAATACTTCTTTTTCTTGTAGCATAAAACTGTAGGGCCTGCTGCAGGGTCATCCTTCGTGTGAAGCAGACGGCTGATTTCCAGTGATGGGAATAACGGCGTTACAAGTAACAGCGTTACCAACGGCGTTACTTTTTTCAGTAACGAGTAATCTAACTAATTACTATTCCTATCGTTACAACACCGTTACCGTTACTAACAAGAAAATGCGGTTGCGTTACCGTTTTTCAACAGACGGCTGAAGCTGTGTTCAGCTCACTGCAGCTTATATCAGCTGCAGGAAGTAGCTGTAAGAATCAGGACGCTGCAGCTTTAAGCAGCTGCGCTCCTGCGGACGGTAACCATCACTTTCTGGCACAACAGCTGGAGCTCAGGGGGCAAAACAATCGCACGAGTGCTGCTGTTTGACTGAGGAAGAATAAAGGAGTCGTGGTCAATCACATGACCACTTACAGACAAAGCAACAAGGTGACATGTACCAGTTTATAAACTGTGTTGATCGGACACATAACACCAGAGTCATGATAAACAATATACACGAGTGTTTTTTCCTCAATAGTTTCACGTTTACTGTCTAAGGACAGCGAGCACGCTCTGCTTATGAGCAAACAAAAAAAAGTCAAAAATAAAACAGCTCGTTCATGTTGGTGGAAAAATGCACCATGTTGACCAATCAAAAAATTATATGGCAACATGACATTTGGTTGTTTAGGAAGAGGCGGAAGTTTTAGGAGAGAGAGAGAGTTTTTTGGATGTGAGAGATTTGTGACGTTTAGCGTGTTTGGAGTGTGTAGTTAATGTGTTGTCTTGTGTAGTGTATTGTGTTTAGTGTGTAGTTAGTGTGTTGTGGACAGTTTTGTGTTGTGTGTCAGAACAATGAGGCGACTGCTGTCTCCAGGTAGAAACAGCAGTGACACACCTGCTGCTGTCAGACCTGCAGGTATCAGGCTGTGATGTTTCCTTTATAGTGGACAGAAATTATTTTTTTGGAGTGGGAGAAATAATTTGTGGCATCTTGTTGTTGAAGAACAGCTGATTGTTCTGTAAATAGTTTGAAATGGTTATTTAAAAAAGAGTAAAGGTTAAATGGATGCAAATAACTTTGTTGTTTGCAAAACGTGTGCATATAAATTAAAATTGACGATTTATATTTGCATCTAAAGTTATGAAATATGGTCATTAAACATGTTTGTGGTTGTTACAGTAAAACTATAACTTTTTTGATTTTATGTTTTTTGTCTGATTTTAGATCAGTTGTGTTAATACAGTAGTCAAAATGAAAACATGACTGTAAATTCAGACACGTGAGGCTGTGCTGAAAACAATGAGACCAAACAAGGTGAAATGTGGAGGAAACATCAAAAGTAGGTAAAAATGGCCGATTATACCCGGGACCCCAGAGGGTTAAATGTTTTTTTTCTAAGTAACGCAATAGTTACTTTTCAAGTAATTAATTACTTTTAGAATCTTGTGACTCAGTTACTAACTCAGTTACTTTTTTGAAGAAGTAACTAGTAACTATAATTAATTACTTTTTCAAAGTAACTTGCCCAACACTGCTGATTTTACACTGAGGTCCAGCGCTGTAAACTTGCAACTGCTGAAGCAAATGAAATCTTTTAAACGAAGGATCAATCAACCAATTATATCAAAATTAAATGGGAGACGGAGGCTAAAACCAACATATCAGAGGACAGTTGGTTAAATATATGCAGGACACAGATGGAAACTACTAGCTCAGGTTATTGGAGGGAATTCACGTGGAAAAATTTTATTAGGTGTTTTTATAAAACCCAAAATAAAATACAAACAAAAATGTCAACTGACAGATGGACACTGCTGGAGAAACTGTGGGGAAAACATGGCAGATCATTTCCATATATTTTGGAAAAGCCCAATAATCCTGTCATACTGGAGTGAATTGGTCGAATCAATTTACTTGGTGACTGGTCTCAAACTAAATTTGGATTTTTGTACTGTGTACTTGGGCGATATCCCATCAGCAGCCTCCTTAAAAGACAAACACTTGATAAACATCCTGTTGGGAGCTGGCTGGAGAAAGAGCCCCCAACAAAGAAAGATTGGATAGGAATAATGGAGGAAATATATAGAATGGAAAAACTTCCTTTTTTTTAACCTCAAAATGGACCAATTTCATAAAAACTGGAGGAAGTGGGAGAAATTTGTTGAAGGTGGTAACGTGGGATGAGATCTTCACGCAACTACTGGAAGAAGGAAGGTCTGCTAAGGACGTTTTATTTTATTTTTTTTATTTTTTTTAAGGTAGTTTTTAAAAGAGACTGGAAATACCCTTCCGAATATGATCAGGGATGGACTGTAAAGTGCTGAGTGGACAGTAGTAAAAACCTAACGACATGGGACCTGTAAAGAGGTGGAGGGGAGCTCCCCCAGACCGAGCAGATCTGCGGATTTCACTGAGCCACTATGTTATTGTTAATGCGTAGTATCTTTGTTTGTTTGTTTGGTTTTTTGTTTTGTTATTTTTGGGTTTTTTTGTTTGTGTGTATTGCTAAATTAAAGTACCTTTTTATAAAAGAGCTTATGAGGTTCTCAGTGGCAGAATATAATCTGCAATAAGACGTTATTTTTTAGCAAAGCCAAAGGAAAATAAGAAGGTACAACCTGCACAGAAATGAACATTTGTGAGATATATAATGAATTTTGATTTTACAAACTTTTCCCTTCCTATTTTTTTTGTTATCATATCAAAGCTGAATGATACAGGGCTGGCGGTCCATAAAGATGACAGAGGCTCAAATTTTGTATCTCTATATGTAATCATGGGAAAAGAGGGATTTGTGTTTGGTCTAAACACACCATGAGAGTGAAGCGATGATCATGAGTTGTTTGTTTGGGTTTTTTTTACTGTTTTTGTTTTTCTTTTCATGTGGATGACTGTCATAATTACAAAACTTTCAATAAAAAAAAATTTTTTAAAAAAAATCTTTTAAACGACACGTTTCTCGTGTTCTTCCTCAAGAGAACAAAACTGAACACGTCACTTTGCTTCGGAATGAAGCAACAACGAAACCGCTGCCAGATCCCAAATATGAATAGACCGTAATGCTGAGGCAGAAAACCTCAGGCCTGTTATAAGAGCTCAGGCGCCAGAGTCACCTCCATCTACTCTGGGAAACTGTTGGTTACATTAGTATAGTACAGGTTATATAGATGTTGAGGGTTTGTTTGATAACCAGACTCATTTATTATCATGTTACTAAATATTTAGGCTGTGACATCACTGTGTAACCAGCCAATGACAGTTTCTCTCTGGAATCTGCCCTGCAGCATCTAAGCGTTGTTGTGACATGCACGTTGTTGCATGCAGTAGAATTAAAACCAGGAACTCATTTTTGATTCACAGCCAGGGTTGAATATCCCCTAACAGTGACACATTGGGACTGCAGGTTATTCACACTGTGGCTGTGTGGTTGGTGAACCAATGAAAGCTCTCTTCTGTCTGCAGTCTGCCCTGCAGCAACTTTAACAAGTGCCTTAAAGTGACGGCGTCCTCGGTGTACAGCACAGAGCAGCAGCAGGAAGGTGTCGGTGCAAAGCTTTGTAATCCTGAGCAGCACAAACATGGCCGGCACCAAAGCTCGTAAGTACATTTAAAACTTTTGATTTACTGTTTAGACCAACTTTCTATCATAAAATACAATCTAGATGAAAAGTAAAAAAAACAAACAAACCAAGAGCTACATGTTAAACTGAACTGTGATTGGTTATTTCTGTGTCCTGTGTAGGGCTGGGTATCGTCACTGATTTCTAGAATCGATTCAATTCCGATTCACAAGGTCCCGAATCGATTCGATCCACGATTCGATTTAATTTGATTCGATTTGAATCTGGGAAATTTTGACAGTCAGAAATATAATTCAGATCAGCACATTTACATATTTTTGTATCTATAAAAAGGAAGCTGTGATAAGACTTTATCACAGGTGTGAGCGTCACAGCGAGGCCTTTGTGTCAAAGTAGCTGAAGATAAAACAGAAAAACATGAAGGTGATTTTCCTGTTCTGGATTTTATAAAAATATACTGCAGTAGATCAAAAACGAAAGAAAACCATTAATCAGCATATGAACATTACCTCTGAAGTTACAGTGGTTTTATTACAGACACAGCATTTTGCATTTTGTATAATTTTAAAAAGTTTAAATTTGTTCAGTATTGAACGGCAGAAATTAGGTTTTCTTTTCGGAAGAATGTAAAAAAAAACAAAACAGCGGCCGACAGCCTGTAAACAACGGTAGACTTGTGCGTAACAAGCAAGCGAATAATGAAGAAAAGGAAACTGTTCTTGAAGTACAGAGAGAGAGAGAGCGAGCTGTGCATCGCGGTGGAAGCAAAACAGTAAAAGTCAGAGTGAATTCATGACGATGTTCATGTGAAGCGTAGTTTGGATCTTCTTTTGCTGCTGGTTCGGTCAATATTGTTTGGAGAGACATCAAACTAACAGCTTTAGAATCAGCGCATAAAGGGCGTGAACACAAAGCGCCGACAGATCAGAATCAGCAGCTGTCGGCTTTCAGCCCCGACTGTGAGAAAGACGACATCTCACTGATTCTGATCCGCGGGTCGCGCTGTGTGTTTACGTCTTTGTGCAGAAGCCGTGTTCCTGCTCTCATTTACTGTCTTAGCTGTTTGGTGGTTGTTGAAATTTTGTGAGATGTCACCAGAGATTCTGGCATTTCGGGCAAAATAAATTTATATTAAAAAATCGATTCAGGATTTTAATGAATCGATTTTACGTTATCCAAGCCAGAATCGATTTTAATCGATGAATCGATTATAAAAACCCGCCCCTAGTCCTGTGTGACAGCACGGACACGCCGTCGGGGCTAAAAGCTGACAGCTCACTGACTCTGATGCTGCAGGTTTCATCAATCTGACCAACATTCACTGAAGCAGCAGCAAAAGAGGATGATGATAAACATCGTCACTCTCACTCTGACTTTGGCTGTTTTGCTTCCACCACGATAAAATCCCACTTCCTGCACGGCTCTGTCTCTGTACTCACAGACCAGTCTACCATCAAATCTCTGTTTTCTGCATTATTCTCTGCTCATTATGCACCAGTCTGCTGTTGTGTTCGTGTTGATTCATGGTTTGCTTCAGTTTTTGTTCTACTGCAGAATATTTTAAGGTTATTTGCTATAAGAAGCCAGAACATCTGCTTCATGTGTGTCTGTTTGATCCTCAGTTACTTTGACACAAAGGCCTCTGCTGTGGCGCTCACACCTCTGATGAAGTCTCACAGTGTCAGCTTCGGTTTAATATATGGATATTAAATATGGATAAGTGCTGATAAATGAATAAATAAGATGTTTCTGACCGCCTGAGTCTGAATTCAATCAAATTGAACGCAGAAGTCGACGTCGATAGCCAGCCCTACCACGCAGAGCTGGAAACAGATTTATTTTACACAGTCTGCAGGAAAACAAAGGCTTTGATTGTTCCTGCTGAGAAAACCTGTGGTTGGTGTCAGACCTGACAATATGAAGTTACAGGTGTTCATATTGAAAGGTCACAACCCAACAATGAGCAGCTGTTGGTGTTCTGACATGAAGAAACCACACACAGACAGTAAAGTACAAACTCTACTGTTTTTACTGATCGACGCTCACTGCGGTCCACAGCCTTTACCTGATGAGTGAAACTGAGCTCAGGTGAAATCTTTTGATCCTGTTCAGCCAGTTCGACTGTCGGTTCCTGTAAGCTCGGAGCAAGCTTCCTGCATTCCCTGGAGTTTTACAGGAAAGCAGAAAATACTCCAGATACCTCAGAAGCCACAGCTCTGCATTGATGTCGTTCTTCAGCTGAATACGTTTGAGGTTCTGTTTTGGTTCTCAGTGAGGAAGAGCGTTTAGAGGAGCCCTTTCAGATGCTTTCCTTTTTAACCGAAACACACTGTGGGTTTTTCCCACCTTGGTATTTATATGCCCCGCCCACAGTAGTCTTCTTCCACAAGTTGTCCCCACATGTCCAGTCAGTTCATCGCTCCCACACTTCAATTTTATTTATATAAATTCCTGTGTGTGGTGATGTCACGTCTCTCCTTCCTGTGTGTGGTGATGTCACCTCTCTCCTTCCTGTGTGTGGTGATGTCACGTCTCCCCTTCCTGTGTGTCGTGATGTCACCTCTCCCCTTCCTGTGTGTGGTGATGTCACCTCTCTCCTTCCTGTGTGTGGTGATGTCACCTCTCTCCTTCCTGTGTGTGGTGATGTCACCTCTCCCCTTCCTGTGTGTGGTGATGTCACCTCTCTCACGTCTCTCCTTCCTGTGTGTGGTGATGTCACCTCTCTCCTTCCTGTGTGTCGTGATGTCACCTCTCCCCTTCCTGTGTGTGGTGATGTCACCTCTCTCCTTCCTGTGTGTGGTGATGTCACGTCTCTCCTTCCTGTGTGTGGTGATGTCACCTCTCTCCTTCCTGTGAGTGGTGATGTCACCTCTCTCCTTCCTGTGAGTGGTGATGTCACCTCTCCCCTTCCTGTGTGTGGTGATGTCACCTCTCCCCTTCCTGTGTGTGGTGATGTCACGTCTCTCCTTCCTGTGTGTGGTGATGTCACCTCTCTCACGTCTCTCCTTCCTGTGTGTGGTGATGTCACCTCTCTCCTTCCTGTGTGTGGTGATGTCACCTCTCCCCTTCCTGTGTGTGGTGATGTCACCTCTCTCCTTCCTGTGTGTGGTGATGTCACCTCTCCCCTTCCTGTGTGTGGTGATGTCACGTCTCTCCTTCCTGTGTGTCGTGATGTCACGTCTCCCCTTCCTGTGTGTCGTGATGTCACGTCTCCCCTTCCTGTGTGTGGTGATGTCACGTCTCCCCTTCCTGTGTGTGGTGATGTCACTTCTCCCCTTCCTGTGTGTCGTGATGTCACCTCTCTCCTTCCTGTGTGTGGTGATGTCACCTCTCCCCTTCCTGTGTGTGGTGATGTCACATCTCCCCTTCCTGTGTGTCGTGATGTCACGTCTCCCCTTCCTGTGTGTCGTGATGTCACGTCTCCCCTTCCTGTGTGTCTTGATGTCACGTCTCTCCTTCCTGTGTGTGGTGATGTCACCTCTCTCCTTCCTGTGTGTGGTGATGTCACCTCTCTCCTTCCTGTGTGTCGTGATGTCACGTCTCCCCTTCCTGTGTGTCGTGATGTCACCTCTCTCACGTCTCTCCTTCCTGTGTGTGGTGATGTCACCTCTCCCCTTCATGTGTGTCTTGATGTCACGTCTCTCCTTCCTGTGTGTGGTGATGTCACCTCTCTCCTTCCTGTGTGTGGTGATGTCACGTCTCCCCTTCCTGTGTGTCGTGATGTCACGTCTCCCCTTCCTGTGTGTGGTGATGTCACGTCTCCCCTTCCTGTGTGTCGTGATGTCACCTCTCTCACGTCTCTCCTTCCTGTGTGTGGTGATGTCACCTCTCCCCTTCCTGTGTGTGGTGATGTCACGTCTCTCCTTCCTGTGTGTGGTGATGTCACGTCTCCCCTTCCTGTGTGTCGTGATGTCACGTCTCCCCTTCCTGTGTGTCGTGATGTCACCTCTCCCCTTCCTGTGTGTCATGATGTCACCTCTCCCCTTCCTGTGTGTCGTGATGTCACGTCTCCCCTTCCTGTGTGTCGTGATGTCACCTCTCCCCTTCCTGTGTGTCGTGATGTCACGTCTCCCCTTCCTGTGTGTGGTGATGTCACGTCTCCCCTTCCTGTGTGTCGTGATGTCACCTCTCTCACGTCTCTCCTTCCTGTGTGTGGTGATGTCACGTCTCTCCTTCCTGTGTGTGGTGATGTCACGTCTCTCCTTCCTGTGTGTGGTGATGTCACGTCTCCCCTTCCTGTGTGTCGTGATGTCACGTCTCTCACGTCTCCCCTTCCTGTGTGTCGTGATGTCACGTCTCTCCTTCCTGTGTGTCGTGATGTCACCTCTCTCACGTCTCTCCTTCCTGTGTGTGGTGATGTCACGTCTCTCCTTCCTGTGTGTGGTGATGTCACGTCTCTCCTTCCTGTGTGGTGATGTCACCTCTCCCCTTCCTGTGTGTCGTGATGTCACCTCTCTCCTTCCTGTGTGTGGTGATGTCACCTCTCCCCTTCCTGTGTGTCGTGATGTCACGTCTCCCCTTCCTGTGTGTGGTGATGTCACCTCTCCCGTTCCTGTGTGTCGTGATGTCACCTCTCTCACGTCTCCCCTTCCTGTGTGTCTTGATGTCACGTCTCTCCTTCCTGTGTGTGGTGATGTCACGTCTCCCCTTCCTGTGTGTCTTGATGTCACGTCTCTCCTTCCTGTGTGTGGTGATGTCACCTCTCTCCTTCCTGTGTGTGGTGATGTCACGTCTCCCCTTCCTGTGTGTCTTGATGTCACGTCTCTCCTTCCTGTGTGTGGTGATGTCACGTCTCCCCTTCCTGTGTGTCTTGATGTCACGTCTCCCCTTCCTGTGTGTGGTGATGTCACGTCTCCCCTTCCTGTGTGTGGTGCTGTCACCTCTCCCCTTCCTGTGTGTGGTGATGTCACGTCTCCCCTTCCTGTGTGTGGTGATGTCACGTCTCTCACGTCTCCCCTTCCTGTGTGTCGTGATGTCACGTCTCCCCTTCCTGTGTGTCTTGATGTCACGTCTCTCCTTCCTGTGTGTGGTGATGTCACCTCTCTCCTTCCTGTGTGTGGTGATGTCACGTCTCCCCTTCCTGTGTGTCTTGATGTCACGTCTCTCCTTCCTGTGTGTGGTGATGTCACGTCTCCCCTTCCTGTGTGTCTTGATGTCACGTCTCCCCTTCCTGTGTGTGGTGATGTCACGTCTCCCCTTCCTGTGTGTGGTGATGTCACCTCTCTCCTTCCTGTGTGTGGTGATGTCACGTCTCCCCTTCCTGTGTGTCGTGATGTCACGTCTCTCACGTCTCCCCTTCCTGTGTGTCGTGATGTCACGTCTCCCCTTCCTGTGTGTTGTTCCACGGCTTCCCTGTCGGTCATGTCCTCTCTCTCGTGCTCCCTCGCTCCCTCTCATCTGTGTTTCCTCCTGTGTCCAGCTCATGTGTCAGTCTACGTCTGAGTTTTTCCTGTTGTATTTTGACAGTCTTGTGTCTCCATGTTCAGTGTGTTTAGTTTTGCTTCCCCCGTGGCGTCACGTGCATTTGTATCAGCTGTGTTCCTCACTGCGCTTCTGTTTATTTAGTTCACCAGTCTTCCTTTCTCCTTTCTCCTACCCGTGTCTGGTCACCTCATGATGTTCATGGTCTGTAGTTCTTTGATACTTAGATCTTTACTTAGTTTTTCCCAAGTTTAGGTTTAAGTTTATTTCATTTTCGTGTTACTTTGCCTTTGTTTCTCATGTTTTTCCAGCCTCCAATAAACGGCTTGTATTTGATTGAACCTGCTTCCTGCCTCGAGCGTCTGTGTTTGGGTCCTCTTAAATAAACCCAAGGTTTCCCTCTGCATGTGACCAACAGTGATGGGAGACGGAGCTTATGCTGAACAGCGATTGTGGAAAGTTTCTATACTTAAAATAAGGAAATAACGAGATGTGTGATTAAGATTTTAATATCCCGAACAGTGTAAAATCTTTTCAGCCAATTAACCTACAATAAATCAGAGAAACCCCAACAATCATGTGACCCCCTATAAGCAAGCACTATGAGCAACAGTAGGAAGGAAAAACTCCCTTTTAACAGGAAGAAACCTCCAGCAGAACCAGCTCAGGGAGGGACGGGGCCATCCTGAGTGAGGGGAGAGAGCGGGACACTGACACGCTGCTGGAGAGCGCCTGTGTGATGACCTGTATGATGACCTGTGTAATGACCTGTGTGATGACCTGTGTGATGACCTGTGTGATGACCTGTGTGATGACCTGTGTGATGACCTGTGTAATGACCTGTGTAATGACCTGTGTAATGACCTGTGTAATGACCTGTGTGATGACCTGTGTAATGACCTGTGTGATGACCTGTGTAATGACCTGTGTAATGACCTGTGTGATGACCTGTGTAATGACTAGGGATGGGTATTGTTTAGGTTTTATCCGATACAGGTGCCAAATCAGTACTTTTGAAACGGTGCCGGTACTTAAACGGTGCTCAAACCGGTGCTTAAAGAATGGAGAACACAAATTGGTCCAAAAACCTCTCATTTTCAGCTGGTTTTTTGTAAAAAGATAACAATGTTAGCCTTTTCTGCAGCTATGGGGCATATATGGTATCACTCTTGGCTGGAAGCAGTGCTTAAACAATGGAAAAAACACAAACTTTGTCCAAAAACCTCTCATGTTTAACTGTTTTCCACTTTTTCTTTGGTCATTTTAGCCTTTTTGGCCAGGGTGAAGGGAGCATCTGCCATCAAACAAGAGGACAGCCGCATGTAGCTATGATGATGTTTGCTAGTTCACCTTACATGCATTAATGTAATAACGTGGTTAGCCTACTCAACGTAAATTACACACGAACAACATTAAGCTACTCACGCAGAGAAGAACGGCTGCTGCTGCCATCATCATTTCTGCTACACTGGCAGAGCTAGAGGCCAGGACTCTCCTCTTCAGGTTTTTGGGGGATGTTGCTCCGGGTCCGATAACAGGCAACCCACCCACAGTAGATGTGCTTGTTGTGAGTTCTCGCAGCAAGCTATCATACGGCGCATTTCTGGGCTTTTAAAAAAAACACTATGCGTCGCCAGGTGTTTCATCGGATTTGAGGAGTTACCTCCTTTGACAGTATCACAGTATCAGCTTACAGCACTTGTTGCTGCTGAGTTTGCATCTTTTGCTGTGAAGTACAGCCAGACTTTGACCGCTTCGCCTTGGGCATTTTTAATCTCTAGCTCTGCTCTAAAAGAACGTACGTACCTGGCCCCGCCTACTATCCTCGGAAACGTAAAATGATTGGCTAGAAGTGTATCACAGCTCAGGAAAAAAAGCACCGAAATGTGCGCTGCTTTTTGGTTTGGTTACTACCGTTTATGTCACCGGACACCGGTACCCATCCCTAGTAATGACCTGTGTGATGACCTGTGTGATGACCTGTGTGATGACCTGGGAGTCCCACTAACGCTGTCTGTTTATGTTCTCCAGGAGATGCAGTGAGAGATGGGTTCCCACACCTGAGGATTGTGCTTGTTGGGAAAACTGGAGTGGGGAAGAGTGCATCAGGAAACACCATCTTAGGAAGAAAAGCCTTTGAGTCTATAACTTCTTTTTCTTCATCAGTAGTTGGGTGTCGCAAAGTAACAGGGCAGGTGGATGGTCACATCCTGGATGTAGTTGACACTCCGGGTCTGTTTGACACCCTACTGACTCAGGAGCATGTAAAGACGGAGATCGTTAAATGCGTCTCCTTTGTTGCTCCCGGTCCTCACGTGTTCCTGGTTGTGATCCAGATCGGCAGGTTTACAAAAGCAGAAGAAGAAACGATAAAAATCCTTCAGAAGATATTTGGGGTGGATGCAGCCTGTTACACCATAGTCTTGTTCACGTATGGAGACAATCTGCCAAACGGAATCGACATCGACAAATCAATCAGTGGAAATCGGCCTCTGCATCGCTTCATCAATCAGTGCGGAGGAAGATATCATGTTTTTAACAACAGGAGTGAGGATCGCTCTCAGGTCAAAGAGCTGCTGGAGAAGATCAACACCATGACTCAGAGAAATGGAGCAACATACTACACCAATGACATGCTGCAGGAAGCTGAGAGAGCCATCAGAGAAGAGATGGAACGACTTATGAAAGAAAATCCAGACATGGGAGAAGAAGAAGCGAGAAGACGGGCAGAGACGAAGAACAAGATCCTGAGGGCTGCTGGGATAGGAGCGGGCCTCGGGAGCATTTTAGGGCCACTGGGAGCAGCACTGGGAGCAGCAGTGGGAGCAGCAGTCGTAGCAGCAAAGGAGAAAAAATGTGCCACACAATAAAATAAAGAACGTTTGATCACATTTTGATAATTATTGGTCATTAATGGCGCACACAAGAACTGTTAGTCCACGGTAATTTATCATATTGTGTAATACGTCATCTAAGAGCTGTATAACATGAGCCCGTATACACACAGATCTCCTGAACATCTTTGGTTCCTGGGTAACGAGCTTTTTCCTCCATTGCTTAAATAAAACATTTTCCTGAATTTTCTATATTTAACACAAACCTTTGATCCATCTGACTCATGCTGGCCCAGGTCTCAGGGACAGAGTCTGGTCTGTACAGAGACTGCCACACCTCTCTATCCCACCTACATCCTCCTGATGGTCTGGAGGAAAAGCTGCAGCATCCCCAAGCTAGCTGAGATGGACTTCCATGACCTCCTCCCAGTCGGACATGCCCAGACCTTAGAGAGCAGGTTGGATTAGCAGCAGCTTTGCTCAGGACGAGCTCGGAGGTTCTGACATGGTCTCCAGTCACAAACTGATTAAAAATAAAATACTGTTCACAAATGCAAAGTTTGAAAACAACATTTTCTTTAACTTTAAAGTATAATAAATATTTACACTTAAATGATGCAAATATCAATAAATGTTGGTATATGATGTGTTCAGGTGTTTAAAAATAATGTTATCATCTGTATTGCTGTGATTACTTCATAAACACACTCTGTGCAGTGAACCTGTGAGACAGGGTTTTCCTCCTTCCTGATTTTATTTTTCATATTTAGAAGACAAGCATTTTTCAGACCGTCAAACAAACTATCAGCACTGTTTCCTCCATGTGTGGATAACTGTGGTTCTCACTGTGGTTCTCTGGAGTGCCACAGCCTGAGGAACATTCCTGTAACCTCGACCTGGCCTGTGCTTCAGCAGGTGTGGCAGTAATCGGGCGTGGGTGTAGCAGAGAAACTGAACTCTTCAGAAAATGTCATATTTTTCACTGTAGTTTCTTAGTCTTCCCTGAGAACTTGAAAGAAGAATCAGCAGCACATTCTCACACAGGGCCAGGTACGTTTGGATTACCTTTCCCTTTAATAAACGAAAAGATTGTTTAAAAACTGATGGTTGTTTGTTTGTTTTTCTTGAACATGCTAAAATAATACAACAACAAGTCTCAGGAGCCTGAAAAGAAAAGCGTCTGGACTTCTTTAAGTTACTTGAAGACGTTTCACCTCTCATCCGAGAAGCTTCTTCAGTTCTAAGGTCAAATGGTGGAGAGTCCCAGATATAAACCTAGTGGGAGTTTCCCCCCACAGAGGGACAAAAGGACCCCTGATGATCCTCTAATCGCCTGACCCAAGGTGTGAAACTGGGTGTGGGTCCCAATGAGCCAGGGTTTCGGGTGTGTTCATTGTGAAACCTGGCCCCACCTTATCATGTGATTTCCTGAGGTCAGATGGCCCAGGATGTGAGTGGGTGTTAAGGCGTCTGGGGAGGATCTCAAAACTGGATTATAGATGGCAGAGAGTTGGTGTCGTAAACCCCGCCTCTGTTCAAAGATGGTCGCTCACAGTGGACATAGATGCTTCTTTCACTCTTTCAAACCATCTGTCCTCTCTGTCCAAAATGTGAACATTGGCATCCTCAAAGAGTGACCTTTGACCTTTAGATGCAGATGAACTGCTGAGTCTTGTCCTGTGGAGGTGGCTTTTCTATGTTGTGTTATGCGCTTGTGAAGTGGCTGTTTGGTCTCTCCAGTGTAGAGGTCCTCGCTGCCCTGTACAGCAAACACCACATTGTTGAGTTTGTGTTTTGCAGTTTTGTGGGAGTCAAAGAGGAGGTACTGGTCCGAGTGTGTGGGCTTCAGGTAAACTTCAGTGTGGATAGCTCAGTAGGTAAAGTGGTGGCCCCATGATCGGAAGGTCGGGGGTTCGACTCCACTGAACGGCTACCCTGAGGTACCCCTGAGCAAGGTACCGTCCCTACACACTGCTCCCTGGGCGCTGCACTGGTGGCTGCCCACTGCTTCACTGGGTGGATGGGTTAAATGCAGAGGAACTATTTCCCTATGGGGACTAACACGCACACTTTAAAGGTTTCCATTCTCTTCACAGTCCAGGAATGGCAAACCAGGGAAGACAGAAAGGATAAGTTTGCCATTTAGGCTGAGAGGTGAAACTTCTTCAAGAAACTTAAAGAAGTCCAAACGCTTTTCTTTCCAAGCTCCTTGGACTACGATGACCTGAATGACTGAGAACCTTTACAGACAATATAACAACAACAAAGAACAGAAAAAAACACAATCAAAACACACACGAGGAGAACAGAGATCAGATTCCTAAAAATAACTGAACATGTTCAGAAATGTCAGCGTGACACAGAAGAAGGCAAACATACCAGCTCACCGTGTTCACAGCATTGATCCAGACAGTTTTAACTGGATTCTGTGTGGTTGACTTCTCCTATTAAAACTTCTATTTGGCAGCGAGTCATGTTTCAGCAGAGCATGGCCTGAGGATCTGAGGGCAGACCACAGCAACCTCCCTGAACAGGGTCCAGTAACCATCACAGTGGCAGATATCCAAGAAAGGGTCTCCAGTATGAAGAGTTGGACAGCACCAGGCCCTGACATGGTTCACGCCTACAGGCTGAAGAAGCTGACTGCACTCCACAAGCGTCTGGCAGCACAAATGAATCAGCTGCTAGTTGAGGAGAGACACCCGGAATGGCTAACCGAAGGTCGGACAGTCCCGATGCTCAAGGACCCCCAGAAGGGACCGGTCCCCTCCAACTACCAGCCAATAACCTGCCTCAGCACCACTCCTGTCAGGCATCATAGCGGCTAAGATGAACAGGCACATGGGTCAATACATGAGCGAGGCACAGAAAGGGATGGGCAGGAATACCAGAGGCACAAAACACCAGCTACTGGCTGACCAAGCAGTACAGTGCGGGATCTACCAAGGAGATGCTCTGTCCCCACTGCTGTTCTGCATAGGCCTGAACCCCCTCAGTGAGATCATTAACAAGACTGGTTACGGATACCGACTACAGAACGGAGCAGTTGTCAGCCACCTCCTGTACATGGATGACATCAAGCTGTATGCCAAGAGTGAACGAGACATCGATTCACTGATCCACACTACCAGGCTATACAGCAATGACATTGGAATGTCGTTCGGACTGGAGAAGTGTAGTCGGATGGTATCAAAGAGAGGGAAGGTAGTCAGAACTGAGGGGATTGAACTACCAGAAGGCAACATTGCAGACATAGAGGACAGTTACAAGTACCTGGGGATCCCGCAGGCGAATGGGAACCATGAAGAGGCCGCTAGAAAAGGCTGCAACCACCAAGTACTGCAGAGGGTCAGGCAAGTCCTGAGGAGTCAGCTGAATGGTAAGAACAAGATCCGGGCCATCAACACGTACGCCCTGCCCGTGATCAGGTACCCTGCTGGGATAATAGGCTGGCCAAAGGAGGAGATAGAAGCCACTGACATAAAGACAAGAAAGCTCCTTACCATGCATGGAGGGTTTCACCCCAAGTCCAGCACCCTGAGGCTGTACGCTAAGCGGAAGGAAGGGGGCCGGGGACTGGTGAGTGTCAGCACACAGTCCAGGATGAGACAACGAACATCCAAGAATACATTGGGAAGATGGCCCCAACTGACCGAGTGCTCAGTGAATACCTCAGGCAGCAGAAACCCAAGAAAGAGGAGGGAGACGAGGAACCATCATGGAAGACAGGCCCCTGCACGGTATGTACCACCGGCAGATAGAGGAGGTGGCTGATATCCAGAAATCCTACCAGTGGCTGGACAAAGCTGGACTGAAAGACAGCACAGAGGCACTAATCATGGCAGCACAAGAACAAGCTCTGAGTACAGATCCATAGAGGCTGGGGTCTATCACACCAGGCAAGACCCCAGGTGCAGGCTGTGTAAAGATGCCCCAGAGACAATCCAGCACATAACAGCAGGGTGCAAGATGCTAGCAGGCAAGGCATACATGGAACGCCATAACCAAGTGGCCGGCATAGTGTACAGGAACATCTGTGCCGAGTATAACCTGGAAGTCCCGAGGTCAAAATGGGAGATGCCCCCAAGGGTGGTGGAGAATGACCGAGCTAAGATCCTGTGGGACTTCCAGATACAGACGGACAAAATGGTGGTGGCTAACCAACCGGACATAGTGGTGGTAGACAAACAGAAGAAGACGGCCGTAGTGATCGATGTAGCGGTTCCGAATGACAGCAATATCAGGAAGAAGGAACACGAGAAGCTGGAGAAATACCAAGGGCTCAGAGAAGAGCTCGAGAGGATGTGGAGGGTGAAGGTAACGGTGGTCCCCGTGGTAATCGGAGCACTAGTGCGGTGACTCCCAAGCTAGGCGAGTGGCTCCAGCAGATCCCGGGAACAACATCGGAGATCTCTGTCCAGAAGAGCGCAGTCCTGGGAACAGCTAAGATACTGCGCAGGACCCTCAAGCTCCCAGGCCTCTGGTAGAGGACCCGAGCTTGAAGGATAAACCGCCCGCAGGGGCGTGCTGGGTGTTATATAAATATATATATATATATATATATATATATATTATATATATATATATAACAAAAACCTTTTGTCTGTTACTGCAACATGGAAACACTTCTTGTTGTGTGGATAGTGTTAAGTGTTACATTTATCTGCATGTGGCTCTATAACCTCCCACCGTTACATCATTAAGGGAGGAACCATGATCAGATTACAGCACACAGGTGAAATCCAGTTATTCACCAACAGGAAACAAAGAGAGCAACATGAAAACATGCACTGCACAGGTCAGTGCCTTTACAACTCTGATACTGATTTACTGCTCAGACAAACTTTGCATGAATATACTAAAGTTCATATAAGCTTAAGACCCACCTGTTTAACTAAACCTTGATTAGTTGTGCATCTTCACACCGTGTCCTCCTTTTTCCTTTTATTGAAAAATGTTTCATAGATACAAAGATGAAAGTACAGAAGGTAATGCTGTTTAGCCAGTTTGACCATGTTCTCGTAAGGTTTGAGCAAATTGTGTTTACCTTTCTCTTCCTTGTTTTTTTTAATAATGTGATGGTTTCTGAATGGTATGGTGTTTAAATTTGAGTTATTTCCTGTTTTATTTTGGTAGGCATTGGTCCTTCTTTATTACTCTAAGTCAGGGGTGTCAAACTCCAGGCCTCGAGGGCCGGTGTCCTGCAGGTTTTAGATCTCAGGTCAACACACCTGAATCAAATGATTAGTCCATTGTCAGGCTTCTGGAGAACTTCAAGACATGCTGAGGAGTCATTTAGCCATTTAAATCAGCTGTGTTGGATCAAGGACACATCTAAAACATGCAGGACACCGGCCCTCAAGGCCTGGAGTTCAACACCTGTACTCTAAGTTTTATTTTCTCCCTTTCTGGGTTTCCCCTTCTTGGCAGCTGTCTGACCCGATGGTGACCAATCAGTTTATACACCCTATAAACCGATCTTGAATCTTGAACATGTCAAGATGAGTGTAATGAAGATGGATGATAAGGTCTGGGGAAAATGCCCTGAAAAGTTATTTAAGGCAAGTGTTGAATATCATAGAGAGCACAAAATGGTGTAAACTGACACACTGATCAACGTAAGATATGAATAATCGAGTTATATAGTTTTTAAAGAGAAAGATTTGGTCACAAATCGGGAAACAGTTGTAGCTTAAAGCTAAAATTACGGACATTTAAAGTCAAATTTTGGAAGTTGCATAACATAAAGAGGAGGAGTTGTTGATAATACAACGGAGTCCCAGCAGAGCCCGTGTGTGTGTGTGTGTGTACGCGTGTGTGTGTGTGTGTGTACGCGTGTGTGTGTGTACGCGTGTGTGTGTGTGTGTGTACGCGTGTGTGTGTGTGTGTGTACGCGTGTGTGTGTGTACGCGTGTGTGTGGTGTGTACGCGTGTGTGTGTACGCGTGTGTGTGTCTGTGCGTGTGTGTGTGTGTACGCGTGTGTGTGTGTGTGTGTGTACGCGTGTGCGCGTGTGTGTGTGTGGTGTGTGCGCGTGTGTGTGCGTGTGTGTGTGTGCGTGTGTGTACACGTGTGTGT